CTATATACTTAGAAGTGGAATTGTGGGGTAAATGGGCATGCATATGTTCAGCTTTAATAGAAAAACTGCAAGTTTTCCCAGAGTGGTTGTAGTTATGTACATTTCCACTAGCAGTGTAAGATTTTGGTTATTCCTTGTCCTCCTTCATTACAGCCATTCAGGAAAGTTTATATAATATTTATCACCTTGTGACTTTAATTTGTTAACTAATGAAGTTGACATCCTTTGCTTTATTCATTGTCCTTTTGGATATCCTCTTTGGTAAAATGCCTGTTCAAGTCTTTTTTATATTTTCTCATGGGTTGACTGTCTTTATCATAGGGATTGGTAGGAGTACATTATACATTATGAATAAGAGTATTTTGTTGGATTTGAAGATTTAAAAAAAATATGTTCCCACTCTGTGGCTTGCCTTTTCACTCTCTTAATGGTATCATTTAATGACCAGAAAGAAGTGCTTCATTTTAACGTAGTTCATTTTGCCCTAGCCGGTTTGGCTCAGTGGATAGAGCGTTGGCCTGTGGACTGAAAGGTCTTGGGTTCGATTTTGGTCAAGGCTGGATCCCCACCCCCATCAGGGCGCTCAGGGCGCCTGAGGGAGGCAACCAATTGATGTGTCTCTCTCACATTGATGTTTCTCTCTCTGTGTCTCTCCCCTCCCTCTACTCTTTCTAAAAATCAATGGAAAAATATCCTCGGGTGAGGATTAACACAACAAACAAAAAACAAACAGACAGAAAAACACATGGATCAGCTGCATCCTGCATGCCCATTATTGGGAATGAGCCCACAACTGGGGCATGTGCCTGACCAGGGAATGGAACCAGCAACCTTTCGGTGCACAGGATGACACCCAACCAACTGAGCCACACCAGCCAGGGCTCATTTCTTCTTTTGGAAACAAATATTGATTGTCTACTAAGGTGCATAAATTGGACCTGGCATAGTCTAGGTATTTGTTTGGCTAAGATTTAAATGCATGTGGTACACTCTGAAAACTTCCAAGGAAGAGGCATGGCGTGATTCTGTTCAAAGAGAAATATATTACCTACTAGAGGCCTGGTGCACGAATTTGTGCACGTGTGGAGTCCCTCGGTCTGGCCAGAGATTGGGGCTGATTGGGCCGGCTGGCCGGCTTGGGGGAGGAACCGTGGGCAGTTGGCCGCAGTGGGAGGTTGGCTGTGGGAGCGCACTGACCACCAGGAGGCAGCTCCTGCATTGAGTGTCTGCCCCCTGGTGGTCAGTGCGTGTCATAGCGACCAGTCGTTCGGTTGTTCGGTCAACCGGCGTAACGGTCGCTTAGGCTTATATATATATAGATAACCTCCTGGTCTTGGCAGGATGGTGTGGCATAGAGAATGCAGAAAGGCTTCCTGGAAGAGGTGATACTTGGGACTATCTTGAAAAATAAATAGGAGTAGTAGGCACACATAAGAGTGCATATGCAAATACATAGACAACTAGGTGAGTTTCAGAAACTAGAGGTGTTTTGTTACATAAAGTGTTAGAAAAGGGACCTGGCTGGAGGATTATGCAAAGAGTCAATTATGAAAGGACCTTATTCCAAACTCAATGAGAGCCATTAAAGGAAAAGAATAATGAACTTTGCATTTCACAAAGATCCTTCTGACTGCTGTGTGCAGAGAGAATAGATAGAACAGAATTGGGGGTGGAGGACCATAACGCAGGGAAACTGGTTAGAAGATTGCTGGTTGGTATGATAAGACTGACTTAATGAAGTTGCAGTAGCAATGGAAAGAGGTAGAAATATTTGGTAAATATATGGAGGGTTGAATCTAAAGGAGCTGGTGATGTGTAGGAATGAGGAGCAGTGAAGAGTGAAGGATGGTTACCGGCTCCAGAGTCAGGCAGATCTAGGTTCAATTCTTTTTGTCACAATTTATACCAGATTAGAAAGACTATTAGGGTTTTAAAGAATGGACTAGAAAGATGGAAGGCAAGGAGACTATTTAGGAGGCTATTTTAGTCATCCAAGCTTCATGATAAAGGCCTAAGGTTAATTAATAGAAGAAAGAGATGGATTGGAAGGAAAGAGATGGATTTAAGGGATATTTAGCAGGTTGACTTACCAGATTCAGGAATGGATTTAATAAATTAAAGACAGTAAAGGACTGCAAGAGAAAGAAGTGTCAGAAAAGGAAACAAACAAAATAAAACAGGTCAAAGGAGGAGGAAAAGCAGAAGCCATTGATGTTACTGAAACAAAGGAAGGACAGTGTCAAGATAGAATGCTGAGCAATATCAACTACTGCTGAAGGGTTGTTAATAAGGACAGAAGAATGTTCATTGGAGTTAGCAAAAAGGAAATAAGTATACAGCATGGGCTGGATACAAAAGGCATAAAACTTCTTTCCTGGTCCAGAGTAGTTCAAGGTCTAAGGACAGAAACTATTATTACAATATATTGTGTTGCGTGCTGTGAGAGCAAGGTTCATGCAGGAACTGCTGGACACAAAGAACTGGGTTACATTTCTTAACTTCATCCCACGATGATGTTCGCTGTCTCATGCCATATCACTGCTTCTGCATTCTTTGTGAAATGACCATCCTATCCACCTCACACGGCCTTCCTTGTGCAGGTTTGAGTTTTAAAAGGACAAATTCAAGCCCTGACCGGTTTGGCTCAGTGGATAAAGCGTCGGCCTGTGGACTCAAGGGTCCCAGGTTTGATTCCAGTCAAGGGCATGTACCTTGGATGCGGGCAGATCCCCAGTGGGGGGTGTGCAGGGGGCAGCTGATCGATGTTTCTAATTTTCTATCCCTCTCCCTTCCTCTCTGTAAAAAATGAATAAAATATATATTTTTAAAATAAATAAATAAATAAATAAAAGGACAAATTCAAGCAAGTAGGTTTTCCTTAAATTCTCTAACAAAAACACACCTCACATTCTAAATTTAAAAAGGGTGATGGAGATGATTATGCTGACATGCTGAATTTACATTTATCTTTATTTCAGGGTTCAGTACTGATGCATGTATTGAGTGAATTGGTATTCACTATGTATGGCCTTTAAAGACTGTCTGCTGCATTCAGATTGGCCAAATTCCAACATTAACAATTTAGGTAAGAGTATGATCCCACATCTGAATTCACAACTTTATTTAAAGCTTAATATTATCTTTCTCAAACTCTTGTCAACACAATGCAATATTACTAAATAATAATTTTATTTATTTATTCTGGATAATGATGGTAAGAATTAGAATTATCTGTGGTTGGCCAGCTGGTGTGGCTCAGTGGTTGAGCATTGACCTATGAACCAGGAGGTCACGGTTCGATTCCCCACCAGGGCATATGCCCGGTTTGCAGGCTCAATCCCCAATGTGGGGCATGCAGGAGGCAACCAATCAATGATTCTCTCTCATTATTGATATTTCTATCTCCCTTCCTCTCTGAAATCAATAAAAATATATTTAAAAAAAATTATCTGTGGTAATTTTGGTAACTGAGTTTCATCTATTTTAGGAAGGACTTTTATGTATACAGCAGAGATAAATATTAATGAATTTCTGTTCCAGAAGTAAGACATAAAACAATGCAATAAGCCCTAGCCAGTGTGGCTCAGTTGGTTGGAGCCTTGTCCTGTACACCAAAAGGTGGTGAGTTCGATTCTCTATCAGGGCACATACCTAGGTTGCAGATTCAGTCCTCGGCTGGAGCACGTGCAATGTTTTTCTCTCACATTGATGTTTTTCTCTCTCTAAAATTAATAAAACACACATACAAAAACAATGCAATAAACATCTACACTCTGTAATATTAAAAATATATCTCTGGTATTGTAATAAAATGCTTTGAGGTTACTCACTGATGTTTAGTAATTTACTGAACCACTCTTTAACAAAATATTTTTGCCTTAAGCTACACTTTTTAATTTGTAATTTTGCTCTGGTATATCAAGTCTCCTGATGAAATCTGACATTTGGAAAAAGGGATACAACTTGAAGAGGCTCAGAAGCATCCTGAGAGGAGAAGAAAGACAAGGAAATGGAAAAGATGGATAATCTCAGTTTTCCATGCAACACAATCTATAATTTGGTTGCATTTCATTAACTCAGATTACACACACTCACAAGAATGCACACTGAACCACCTCTGTCCCGCCCCTCCCCTTCCTTCCAAAGCAGATGGAAATTAGGTGGCAGACTGGGAAGGTTGCCATGGTGCTCTGGCTACAGGGATTTAATAAGAATCAAAAGAAGCTCCAGAGTCCCCTCCCCCAAGTATCCAAATGTGTGTTTCTTTTTTCTCTCTCAAATCCTTGTCTTAATTCCATGTTATAGATAACCAGGGTGAGACTAATTTACTAGTGAACAACAACAAAAAACTACTGTTTCCAAAACTGTTTGTAGGTGCATTTCTATTGTTAGAAGTAAAATACTGAGGAATTACAACTGGCCCATTTTTAAGTAGAGCCAGCCACACAAAAGGTAAGAATTCATTTTAAAAATATTTTATGCAACATGCCCCCAGTATTTTTTTTTACTGATTTTATCCCCATCAATGACCTGTAGGCATCTCAAATTCAGTATATCCAAATGAAATTAGTTACTTTTCTCCATTACCCTCTTCCCTGTTCTAGAATCTAAATTATTCTATATTCTCACTACCAATTCATTGTCACTATCTTTCTAGTCTAAAAATCTAGTCAAGCTAGATTAAAATAATAACCTCATATAATAATTATGTGTCAGACACCATTCCTAGCACTTTATGTATAATAACTCATTTAAGTTAATCCCAACTGATCACTAAATTCTGTCAATTATATTTCAAAATTGTCTTAACAAATATTTACAGAATGAACAAATGACTAATCTTCTAAAGCGTGACCAATTTTATTAGCCAAGAGGCCTAGTTCAAGGGGAGGATGTGGCATAATATTTAGGACTTGGTCCTTGAAGTTTCTTCTTTAAGTGTTACATGTAAAAATCCAAGAGCCACTTCCTTTCGCGCCCCCCCCCCCCCCCTGCTCTGTCTTCTCTGCCCTGGGAGCAGCTCCCCTGATCCCCTGAATATGTATGCCTGCACCAAGTTTGTCTCCCTCCACCCCCTCCTTGGTCTGGAGCACCTCTCAGCTGAGCACGTCACTGTCTGCAGTGGTGCTGAAAGGACCAGAGACACTGACAGATGAGAGGCTCAGCAGCTTGGCAGCCCCGCGTCCCCTGACGTCGCTTATTTCTAGCCGCAGCTTCCAAACCAGTGCCATTTCAAGGGACATCGACACAGCAGCCAAGTTCATTGGGGCTGGGGCTGCCACAGTAGGGGTGGCAGGCTCTGGGGCTGGAATTGGGACTGTGTTTGGGAGCCTCATCATTGGTTATGCCAGGAACCCTTCTCTGAAGCAACAGCTCTTCTCCTACGCCATTCTGGGCTTTGCCCTCTCAGAGGCCATGGGGCTCTTTTGCCTGATGGTGGCCTTTCTCATCCTCTTCGCCATGTGAAGGAGCTGTCTCCACCTCCCATAGTTCTTTTTCCCGGGTCTTGTCTGCCCTGTATGTTCCTTTTCCTATACCTCCCCAGGCAACCTGGGGAAAGTGGTTGGCTCAGGGTTTGACAGAAGGAAGACAAATAAATACTGTATTAATAATAATAAAAAAATCCAAAGAGCCAAAGTAGTAGAAGATAATCCTTTGTAGCATATTGGAATCATCTCTAACCAGTGTTTTCTACATGTGCTAAAATAACTAGGGTGCTTGTTAAAAATACTGATTTCCTGACCTATCCGGTTTGGCTTAGCGGATAGAGCATCGGCCTGCAGATTGAAGGGTCCCAGGTTCAATTCCAGTCAATGGCACGTGCAGGCTGGATTCCCAGTAGGGGGGCGTGCAGGAGGCAGCCCATCAATGATTCTCATCATTAATGTTTCTATCCCTCTCTCCCTCTCCCTTCTTCTCTGAAATCAATAAAAATAT